GCCCAGGTGTGCAGCAGGGTCGGCTCGCTGCCCTCCGAGGCCATGGGGAAATAGGTACCTGACTGCAGGGAGCAGGAGTCTAGTCCCTTGGAGCCTGCCTCGGCCCCTCCCAGGGGCTCCGGGGCACAGGGGGGCTCCTTAGCCTGGGCCTGGATGTACTGGGACTCCACCGAGGACAAGAAATCACTCCCTCTGGCTGATCGCCTGCCAGTAGGCCTCGGGACCCCCATCCAAGAGGGCATCTGTGGCCAGCCGGGCACTCTCATTGTCGTTGAAGTCAGCCCTGGCCGGCTGGACCCACTCGCTCTTGACATCTTCCAGGCGTTTCTGGATCTTGCCCAGGTGCCTTGCCTGGCTCATGCTGCGCTGTCCCTGAGTCGTGGGGGAGCAGCAAGTACCTGAGCTCTTCCGGAGGTCAGGGGCAAGCAGGCCACACCGCACAGGAGGAGCAGGGCTCCTGGCACTTCTGGAAAGTACTCGCTCTTAGAACTGGTGTGCAGCCAGCGGCCAGGAGTGCCTGCTCAGAGGAAGTGACTTACCACTGTCCCGAGCAATGCTTCACAGGGATCCGCAGCCAGGGGTTGGCTTTTCTCTGAGCGACACCCGCCCTGCCCGCGGGCCAGGAGGGCTGGCTCAATCACGCCCGGGCACACTCAGCCCTGAGAGATTTCCTCTCCTCCCAGCAGCCGGGGAAGCCCAGGTGAGCTGGCTTTCCAGCCTGTGGTGCAATTCTCCCGAGACCCTCAGCCTTATTTACAAGGCAGGTGGGCTCTCCCAGCACCATCCCCTCTGTGCTCCTCAGTTCAGAGGCTGCTTGGTTCAAAGACAAGCAGTTCCCTGTCGGGCCCCTGAGATCAGCCATCCATCCTGTCCCTGTGTGAGGAGAGAAAGCTGGATTTCTGCCAGGCAGAACTGTTGATCAGGTGTTCCCTCTTCTCTTGGTAACACCTCCAGTTCCCAGCCTTCCCTGTCTTCTGGAAAAGCCTTCTGTCCCACCTCTCTCCTGTCTTGTGCTTGTCACGGTCGTGCTTCAACGGAGCCCCCAGGGAGGTTCCAGTGCAGGGGCCAGCACTGATCTGTTGGAAGCAGATGCTTTGGAATACCGTCTTGAGAAGAATCTGCGATATGTCAGGGCCCGTGGATGGATGGATGGGATCAGTCTGTCTCGGTGTTGGAGGGGCAGGTGGCCGCAGGCATGTTTGAAGTATGCAAACTGCCAGAACAGAGCAGGGGCCGTTCCATGTCAATGAAATGCAGTCTAGAGTCCAGACTGTCTTTATTTGGGCTCTTGCAGAAACAGACTGTGAGACTAGGATTTGAGTGCACGTGGCTAATTGGGAGGTGACACCAAGAAGCACTGGAAGGGGAGCAGAGGAGTGAGACAGGAGGGAGCCTCGTAGGATGTGTTAAGGAGCAGGTCACCATTGTGGACATCCGGGGCTTATGGGCATCAGTGGGGACATCTGGGGTCCAGTCCTACCGGACCTCTAGGAGCTGGTACAGAATACATCTCAGTTTTGCTACCCAAAGAATGAGAGAGCTGCGGAATTGATCTACCAGCCTCATTGATCGTTGGTGCAGGGCTGCTCCTGGGGCCCTGTTAAATCCCCAGCCCTGCTGGCCTGCCCTGTGGGCTCACCAGGCACCGCCCTGAAACCTCAGAAAGCCCTCCGGCTGAACATCACAGGCGCGCACAGGACGAGACTGTTGGAGCAGTGGGTGCTCACAAGGTGAAAGAAGGGCCCCGACAATCTGCGATGAGAGTGATGCCAGGACACTAGGATTGTGTGGTCTTCGAACAGCTGGCACGTGGTAAGAGCCAAGTGTCTCTCTGGGCCATATTTTTGTACTCTTTGGAGGAATATACTATAAGCATCTGTAACCACACTGAAATGTCGCCCAGGAGGCTCTGTCCAGGAGTGGAGCTGTGTTTTTAAAGGCACAGTCCAAGGAAGAGAAAAGGGATTTAAAAGGAATTTCTTCTCTTTTGTAGGATATTGAAGGAATCTGATTCAAGACCTCGGGCAGCTGTCCCCTTATTCCATTTCATCACCTCCTCACAGTCCCAGGAACCTTGATGAGGAAAAACCTAATACACTCTCCTTCCCTGGTGCCCCTGGCTCCACCCCCTCTCCCTGCCAGCTGCTTCTTATGCAGATTGACTTAACCTCTTTCCCACACTCTCCTCCAACCTTCCCTCCTCTCCATCTCCTCTGTGTCCTCCTCAGCGCCTTCTCCAATCTGTGTCACCGAATCCAGTCTCCTGTCTGAGGAGGAGGTAATAATCCAGGCGATTTGTTCTGGTTCACTCCAGGGCTCAAAAGCTGTCAGTGGCTCTCAGTTGCCTGTCACGTTAAGTACCAAGTCCTGAGCCCCTGTCCGTTTGTGATGGGTGTGAACGTTGCAGCCTGACCTCTCCTACACTCGGCCAGCCCTGCGTGCTCCCTGCATGCTGGCCAGCTGTGCTAAGGGACACAAGGATGATTAGACCTCGTGTCACAGATGAGGAAAGCAAGCTTCAGAGAAGCTGAGTAACCTGCCCAAGATGACACAGCTAGTAAGTGGCAGAGCCCGGCACGGTCGCACCGAAGCCCAAAGCCCACACGCTTTCCACTGAGCCGAGCTTCACTCCCCCTTCCCTGCCTCTGTGCCTTTCCACTCTCTGAACAATCCAAGCAGGTGGGATGGTCCCAGAATGTGTGCAAGGGAGAAGGAACGAAGTGGGTGGGTGTTCTGGGGCTCTCCCTTCACCTGGGCCTAATTCTCTTTGTTAGGTGAATAAATGATGGTGAGTCCCCCTGAGACAGAGGCAGGCCTCCATGGCCTGTGGGGACCGTGTTCACCTGTCCATTGCACAGGCAGCTCTCATATTTTAGCTATAGATCAGTGACAGAGTATGTACCTAGCATGCACAAGGTTCTGGGTTCAATTCCCAGTACCTCCATTAAAAAAATTAATTAATTAAAAACCGAATTACCTCCCCCCAAAAGACAAAAATTAAACAAAGAATCTTTGAGTGGGATTTTCCCCTCTAAAGCTGCTGTAGGAAAAACAGCCCTTCTTCTCCTGTCCCCAGCTCCCTGCCCTCACACAGACCCCAGAGATTCTATCGAATCCTTTAGAAGAGCCTGCAGATACACTCTATGTGTGTTGTCACATCTCCTGTTAGCAGATGAGTGGTGACGGAGTTTCCTGAGAATCCCATTTATCTAGGGCAATGGTTCTCTACTCTGGAGATATTTTTGGTTGTCACAACTCAGAAGAATGGGGTGGTATGTGTGATGCACGAGATCCTAGGTTCAATCCCCAGTACCTCCTCTAAAAATAAAATAAATTAACAAACCTAATTAATCAAAGACATATAACCTGAATTTTGACTGTTTTTAAAAATTGTTTTTTAGGTGATCCCACACGGAGGAAGCCATCGGGCAAATCCAGACTATGAGACATTCCATGAGACAGGTAAGGGAGACGGAGGGAGAGGACGTCTCCAGGGGGCCCGGGTCGGAGGGGACAATCCCATTATAAATGCCCTGCAGCAGGTCACAGCCCTGCCACATTTCCATAAGGGCACAGGGAGGTTATGTAAATCCTTCAAGGGCCCAGTGGCTGAGCCTGGATTGGGTTGTCTCCAAGGACCTTACTCCTATCTGCACCCAGGTTCTGTACTTGCTGGTTTAAGTGAAAATCTCCTCCTTCAGACTGTGAGCAATTTGGAGTGGGGGCTAGGAGACAGGCAAGGCACGACTTAGCTTCCTGGCACCCCCAGCACCTATCCCACCTTGGGGCTGCCGCATAGCAGTCATTCAGTCGATGTTTGTTAGGTGAAGAAATGGCTCAGAGCTCCTGGGGCAGAGGCCAGCTTACACCGGCAGAAGGTCCCCAGGTAGGATTCCAGAGCTCATCTGTGGGGTGGCCAGGGGCTGAGAGGCTGGGCTGTGGGCCCTGGAGAAATGGGGTACCTGTTTGACCTCAAGGAGCAGCTGTCACCCCATCCCTGCCACATCCACATCAAGGGCTGCAGCAGCATGAAAATTGTACCGTCTCATTACCCAGTGACCCAAGAAGTGCAATTAAGTTGAAAACTAGTTGGCATAATTAATTAGACAGGTAAATAGCTCCCTGTCAACATCAATCAATCCATTCTGCGTGTAATCAGCTCAGTGCAGGCAGGCAAGGGGCTGGCACCGCTGCTGCCTCTGCTGGTCAGTGAGGGCGGAGGGTAGGAGCGGAAATGGGCCAGGTGTCCAGCCAGGTACCCTGAACCCCACCCACCCACCCCAGGTCCTTCCATAACTGCTTTTCAGGGGAGCAGCCCCTCTGGGCCCATTCTCAGTCAGTCCACCCTCAGCACCCAGCAAAGCCACAGCTGAACTCTCTGGGGCTCAAGGCTGCAAAGTCCCTTTGCTCTCTCCAGTTTCCCACTTTTGAGTTCCCAGTCCTCTGCTCAAGATTTGGGATATGCATAAAAACATGGCAGTTCCCTTTTTCTGGCTGGTAAATTTGTGGAAGTGTTTAAAAAATTAAGGTATAACTTAGATGTAGTAATTTACCCTTGTTACTGTATAGCTGTATGAGTTTTGAGGAATGTATGAACTTGTGTAACTGCAACCAAGCAGGGCCCTATGGGGCCTTCCTACGACAGACCCCCACCCCATGTCTTCTGCCTGCCTCTTACTTGTAAAAAAATCTAAGCTTCCTAGGCCTTCCTCAAGTTCCAAAGAATAAATTTAATCAGACAAGTGAGAAAACACAGAAGCAAAGGAAAACAACCAAGCAAGACAAAAGAGTAACTGTTTAGCCGTTAAACAAAGTCAAGGACCTTTAGCTCCTCCTCAAGGGCTACAGATAATATTCTGAGCCATGTCCTTTTATAAGAAACTGCCAAACAATTTCCTAAAGTCCGGTACCATCTTGTGTGCCCATCAGACATGTAGGCGACTTCCGGTAGCTCTGCATCTTTGTCAGTGCATAGACTTCACAAAATGACAGATCCACTGCTGGTGGCAGCAGGGCCAGCCACAGAATTTGTGGGGCCCAATGCAAAATGAAAAACTGAGTCCCCTTGTTTAAAACTAAAGGAAAAAGTGCAATGAATGGTACAAAAACAGAAAACTTTTTTCTTTCTTCTGTAGTCTTTCTCTCATCTTCTCATGGTGTTTTTTAATTTGCTATTTAATGTTTTTAAGTTAAAAAATCAAAATGTAATATTATTAACATGACCTTTATCATTCATCTTTATTATTGTACAATGCCATTTTAAATGCAAATAGGAGAGATTTAATTTGTGTGCAGAATAATTGAAATTACACAGTCTCTATTTCATTTGTACACACGTGTGTGTGTTGTTCTTACCAGAAAGTGGAAGAGCTTCAGGTTGCCAAGCGATCAAAACCTGGCCAAGGGGGCCGTTGGGCTGGCGGGGGGAATCAGAAGGACCCTCCTTCCAGGCTGGGCTGGGAAACTCTTCTGTCTCTTTTCTTTTGAAAATAACTCTTTGGACTTTGCCCTTTGTTTTGTAATATTAAACATTCATTATAAAAATTTGGGGAAAACAAACAAAAATTTAAAAAAGGAATTAAAATGAAAGAAAAAAAATCAAACATCTTCCACAGCCACGCCACTAGACATTTAATTTTAATTGGCAGCTGCGCAGATTAGATCCTTCAGAACCCTCTGTAACCTCCCTCTTGCATGCTTTCCCATGGCATCTGGGAAGCTCAGAACTCCTTTTCCCAGGCCTCTGCATGGGACCCAGGCTCTGACAGGCAGGAGCATCCCCACAAGACTTAGAAGGCACTGTGAGCACCCTGGGCAGGCCCCCCTCAGGGAGCTGGTTCTTCTGCCACAGCAGTGCGGGCCAACATGAACGCTGAGCCACGGAATCGGAGGTGGAGAGCCGCAGCAGCAGGAAGGCTTCCGCTGGAACACACGGGCATCTTCCTGGCTGGTTGTTCGTGCCTCTGTGGCATCCAAGTGTGGTTCCCTGAACCTCCTGGAAATTGTAGTAATTGAATACTCTGCAACAAGTTGAACTGAATACTCTGCATCAAATCCCTTTCCACATAAACAGCTAGAGTGGGTTCTGCCGTCTGCAATGAAGAACTCGACCTCTGGGTCTCAGCTTAACTCTCATTGCCTCCTTCATAGCACTGAGCTCAGTGTGGAATTGCCTTGTTCATGTGTCTGTTTCCCTACTTAGAGTCTCTTAATGAGGAGGAACCAATTCTGCCTTGTTCACCACCTTGATCCCAGTGGCTATTCCATGGTAGCACTTGGTAAATATCTGTTGTATGAAATAAATGGTCACCTCCAGCACCCCCTACCCCAAGGGAGAGCAGAGACACCAGCCTCAGCTGCTTCTGTGGCCCAGGTGGGTTGTATTGCCTCTACCTGGACACCTGCACCCTCCACCCCCACCCCCACTGGCTGATTGCCTCTTTTTGCAGAGAATCGCATTGTTCTCGAAGATTCCCCCTTGCACACCTCTTTGGCTCTAGTGACTTAAAAAGATTGTAAGGATTAATCAGCTCACTGGCCAACTCCCTGCTTCCCTTCAATGAGCAAAGACTTGCTTTGTGGGGTGTGTGTCTGTGTGTGATAGTTGGGGACAGATTTCTGAATAGAATAAGACCCAAAGACTCAGGAGAGCAAATATTATAGCATGTGCAACGTGCTGGAGGTGGCCTGGACCTCCCAGTAAATGCCTCTTTGGAATCAGACTTTCTCCCTTTGGCCATCAGACTGTCATCAACTAAATTAGCTGAAGTCTCTAAGCTTTAAATTACGGGCCAGATAATGCAACTTTGCCACAATGTAGTTGTGCAATTTCAGACACAAACACTATGTTTGAAATACAGGTGCGGGAAGAGATTTTAGTGATATGATTTGAAAGGATTCCTGTGTAAGCCGCCCAGCCCCTGGATGCTTGGCTGCTTCTCGTAGGAACCATGACGCCCATCAGCTCTGTGATGAAGGGACCTCATGGCTCCACGCCCCAGCACTGCCCGGGACACCAGGGCACACACTGTGACCTCTGCCATTGCCATTACACCTGTTGGAACTGCGGGCAAAAATCACTGCCCTGTTCTAGGTCTGAACCTGGGCAGGCTGCCCCAGGGCTGCCAGGACCACACCTACCATCTCCTGTCTCATCTGTCAGGAGGGGGTGGAGTGGGAGGGTCTTGAGAGGTGAGGGTGGTAACCCTTTCCTCTCCTCTGGTGAGGGGACCTCACTGTCCTCCCACCTCATATGTGGAGCAAGTGCCAGAAGCCTGAATGTGTTTCTGGCCAGTTCATGGAAAGGCTCACTTAGTTACTGAAATCAGAGCCTGCACATCTTTGGAACTAGGAACTAGGTCTTCAATCAGACTGCGATTTGGGGATCTAGAAATGAACCAAATGCAGTGCCTGCCCTCAAGGAAAGACTAGCATGTACAGTAGAAGGTGAGAAGCCTCTTCTGTCATCATCAAATGCTCATGGGTCCACCGTGGGCTCTGCACAGCCTGTGGCATGACCCCTGCTGTGGCAGGGCCCAGAGTCCAGTGGGAAAGATGGCACATGAGAAGCCATGATGTTGAACTGGGATGAGTGTTCGGGTCAGGGGAGCAAGAGCCATGGGAATACAGAGCGTGGAGGCTGACCTAGCCCAGGGATCAGGCCTCTCTGTGGTCACAAAAGGTGGGAGGAATTAGCTGGGGCAGGCGGCAGGAGGAAAGGGGTCCCCAGGAGTGTAGAGGTTGAGTTATGTGCTAGGGGTGGTGGTGAGGAGTGGGGAGAGTTAAGGTGGGGGTGGGAGGGCGCAGGAGCACTTTGGCCTTTATCTCATGGACGGTGGAAGCTACAGAAGCTGTTGAGCAGGACACAGATGAGGCCAGATAAGCGTTTGTAAGGGCTGCCTCTGGCCCAATGTGGAGAAGAGCACAGCCCTCCAGGCACATCCGGGCTGGCAGGGGCGAGGCCTCCCTCCTTCTGGGTGCTCTGTCAGCACGGCTCAGAGCTATGACTCTTGGACGCTTCCAGCAACATGCTGACTCACACAGTGCTGTCCGCTCGTCCAGTCAAAGGTGGAGCTGGGAGGACCATGGCCTTGCGTGCCCCGGACACGTGACAGAGATGTGCTGGCTGGTCTCCGCAGGGCACATCCGAGGAAAACCTCCTCCTCCCACCTTACACTCGGCCTCCCTTGGCCTCCCTGGACTTGCCCAGCTGCTGTGCCCTGGCTTCTGGCTTGTCACAGCCAGAATAATGAGATGAGACACATGGGGCCACAGCCAAGTCCTACCATGTTACCAAGTCCTGGTTGGGAAATGTCCAGGTCTGGGAAACCTCCACCTCCTCTCAAAGCATCATGGGAGAATCCGTACCCCAAATGCAACCCTTCTCTGCAGCCCCCTTCCTTCCCCAGTAAACTTACCCTCACCCAGCCTCATGATTCCCTCTATATTCTTCATTTTTATTTATTTACTTTTTTAAGCAGAGAGAACTGGAAAGGAGGTGAGAGTCACAGTGAGCATGGATTCTGGAACCCACTCACCCCGACTTCCCTTCCACTGGACCAGTGACGGCAGAGGACTGTACAAAGATTGTGGTCAGGTCAGATGCTGCCCACAGTCTGGTTGTGATCCCTGCCAGACAGTTGGAGACCATGACCCATGGGTGGGATGGAAGGGCAGGGAGAGGTCAGGTGTAAAAAGAGAAGCTGTTAACAGCTGGGACTGCCCAGCACTGGCAAACCCCGGAGTTTCTGGTCTTCACCCTCAGGTACATGGAAAATTCCTCATGTGCTTCCAAAGAGGTGAAACAGCAAACCCACCTGAATCCAGGACAGTACGTGATTTTTGGCTGCCCATAAGCTCCTCAGACTTCCGTTGTTAAGCCTGTACAAGAATGTTCGCTACAGTATTTGTTACTAATTGGGAAGAATTAGATGTTGTAGAATTCGAAGTCCTCGTCTCAGCTCGGGCTGCCAGAACAAAGTACCACAAGTGAGGGGCTTAAACCACAGAAATTTGTTCAGGGTTCTGGAGATGGGAAGTCCGAGATTAAGGCGTTGGAAGGGTTGGTTTCTTCCAGTGCCCCTCTCCTTGGCTTGCAGTTGGCTGTCTTCCTTCCACATCTTTACGTGGTCTTCCCTCTGGGCATGTCTGCACCTTAAAATAATCTGCTGTTCCCAGAGACAGTCCACTGCAGTTACAGAGAACAAGGAAGATCTCTAAGTACTGGCAGGGAGAGAGTTCCTGGTTTATTGTTAAGTGGAAAAAAGAAAGCCACAGGACAATATGATACTGATATTAGTGGTATTGTGATATCATAGGATTGGGGCAAAGGTAAGATGAAGAGGACTTACGTATGTAAGTCTCTATGTGCAGCAGATTAGATTATTCTCAGTTCTTCTAATTATTCTTTTCTTTAACTTACATTTTTCTATTTTGTGGGGGCAGGTATTTAGGGTTACTTACTTGTTTTTTAATGGAGGTACTAGGGATTGAACCCAGGACCTCATCCATACTAGATATGCACTCTACCACTGAGCTATGCACTCTACCGCTGAACTATACCCTCCCCAACTATTGTTCTCATTTCTTCATTCCCTCCCCTGCCCTGGCTTTGTAGCTTCTCCCCTGTGGGCTGAGGATATATCCCTGGCCCATGGATATTGATTTTGGCCAGGTGACTTGGTCTGGCCAATGGAATTTGGATGCATGTACCCAGAGCAGAGGCCCTAAATGTGCTTGCTTGGCATAGCTTGGTCTCTCAGGCTTCTGTGACCCTCAGTGAGAAGAAGGCACCCTGAAAAATGGCTGGTCCAGGAGACCATGAAGATGTGACAAGCAGACCTGAACCCAGCCATAGCCTGGAGCTAGCCCAGCTCACCCACATACCTGTGAGCAAGAAAAATACATGCTTACCTGGAAAACATTATGTTGAGTGAAGTAAGCCAGACCCAAAAGGACAAATGTTATATGATTCTACATATATGAAATACCTAGAACAGGCAAATTCATGGAGAGAAAGTAGATTAGGAGCTACCAGGGGAGCAGAATGAAAGGAGAGAGGGGAATGAGTGGTTATTACTTAATGAATATAGAATTTCTGCTTGAAGGGGATGAAAAGGTTTTGAAAACAGATAGTTATGATAGATGCACAACGTCAGTGAATGTACTTAATACTAAATTGGACACTTAAAATGATAAATTTTGTGCCATATGTTTATGTATCTTACCACAATTTTTAAAAACAATAGTGTAATATACCAAAAACCATTGAATTGTACATTTTAAACAGGTAAATTGTATGGTGGGTTAAGTACATTTCAATAAATCTATTAAAAAAAACACATGTTGTTTAAGCCATTAAGTTTTGGGTAATTTGTTAAGCAGCAATGACTGACTGATACAGTATGTATACATGTATTTTATAATGAGCACATATTATTTGGGTAATAAAAATGTGCAAAACCAGAATTTATTTGGTTCCCCTTAAACAGGCCCTCTTTCTTGTTTTCCTGCCTGGTCCCACAGCAGCAGGACATTTCTGGACATTGCTCATCTGAATTTGGAGTGATACTTCACTTCTCTCTTTATCCTTAGAAGTAAACCAGGCTCAAGTCCTGGCTGTTCCTGTAGAAAGTGCTCCATTCGGCTCACTCTCTATAGTCTCTGCAGCATCTCTGGGAATGTTTTCATCTCCCTGGGCCTGGATTCTTTCCTGGCTTCCCAGGTGGTCTCCCTGCCTGGGTCTCTCCAAGCCATGGAGGAAGAATAATTTGCAACATGCTTCCAATAAATTACTCTGCTCATCCAGCCCTGAGCCCGCCTCTCAACACACACACACACACACACACACACACACACACACACACTTTTCATCTGTAAAATAGGCTTACAACAGCCGCTACTGACTGTCAGACCAAATCTAAGCCCCATCAAATGTCATCTGGACATGAACCCCAGAGGTACAATGTGATGATGTCCTAAAATTGATCAGCTGGAGGAAGAGCTGCTCTGGGCAGTCAAGTCACTGCCCCTTTCCCATCTCCCCTTTATCTCTGCTCTTTCTCCCCCTTTTGGTGAGAAAACCTCCAGTGCTGCAAATAAAGGGTATGTTTGATTCAAAACATTGGTTTGGAAGTTGAGAGCATGAGACTCTAATGACTAATTACTGTGGCTTCAAATTCAAAACTGAAAGTGGACCAAACCAAGCTGATGGATGGATGAGAGGTGACTGTTGAAGATATAACGTGAAATTGTTTAAGGAATTGAGTTTTAGTGCTGAAACAAAACCTTTCCACCCTTTTTTATTTCTTCGTGTGAGCAGTTTCTCAACACTTAACATCTGTAAATATGAAAAACAGAAACAAAATTAATGCTGAATCCCACTTCATTCTAGCAAAAAGGGAACAGCCAGCCTATGCAGACATAAATTAAGTGGGATTAAAAAGTCGCATCAATCTCATACATATTTGTTTAAGATTTTCCACTTTTCCATTTAATAATTATTCTTCAAATCCATAAATATATTTATGATTTTTGATTCATTGTGTACTAACAAAAATAATATGTCAATTTAGAAGAAAAATATGAGCCTTATGGTCACAGCAAACAAAACATTTTCAATTTGTGCACATATTCTTGCTGCTGAAAGGCATGCTAGGGTGATCAACAACAGACATTAGACATAAACTCTGTAGTATATGAAGATACAATTCTGTGCAGGGGGCGGCGAGTAGAATGGAAATATGACTTAAGGGGCGAAAATAAATGTAAATTTAAATGCTACAGAGGAGTTTATTCATGTCTATTTAAAATGGATTATGGTTTGTATGAAATCCATAAGATATTTCGATTTCATTGGATGCCTGCTTAAAAAATCATACACGCAATTTTATTTTTAGAAAATCAGCATATACAATTTACTGGAAATTACATCCTTTGTAACTGAATTGACAATGAGAAAGCTGAGCCATCCATTTAATGTTAATCAAGGAGGTTCAAAATTACTTTAGGAGTTGCACGTGAGGAAACAGTTCTGGAAACTGCTGCTGGGGCGGGGCAAGTGCTGGTGAGAGGCCCCGCGATGTTGCTCCACTAGGGATGGAATCCTGCCTCCCTAGGCTGCAAGCGGTTGGAACTTGGGCAGGTGGCCTTAGCTCTTCGGATTCGAGTTTGCACTTCTGTACGTGCAGGGCAATAGTAATAATGACCCCTTCAGGTTGTTCTGGGGGTAAATGAGCCGCCTTTGGGATAGCGTGTAGCCGGGAGGAAGGGGCCTCCATTTACCCAAGTGAGTGGGGCAGGTGTGGAAGCGAGAAGCAATCCTTGGAAGGCAATGGGCATCAGGTTTCTTCGATTGAGTGACCTTTGACCTGGCTGAAGAAGGGCGCGGAGGAGATCCCAGCACAGAGAAGGGGTCTGGCGGTGGGAAAGCCACTTCAGGCGGAGGGAACAGCGCGTGCTAAGGCCTGAGCGAGGTAAGTTCCACGCAACCTTCGAGGTCTGGGGTCCAGGGAAACTACCCAATCCGCAGCTCCTCCTGAGGAGACAGGGGACGCTAGGGAGCCCACCCCTCGTCTCGGGAGGTAGCCTCACCTGCCCGGGAGCTCTCAGTCCTTCCCCGTCTGGGCCGAGCTGTCCTCCTCCCCGCGACCCCTTCTCCCGGGGTCCCCCCTCTCCAGGGTTCTCTCCCCCTCCTCCCAGGAATTCTGGTTCCTGCTCTTAAGATAGTATTTTTCCCACTTCCTTATACTCATGTTGCCACTTTCCCCCTTAACATCCCCCAATTCTGGGTGATTTAAAAACTTCTCCTCCAACACTTTATAATGAGAACATTTCAGATAAACTAGAAACGTTGAAAGAATTGTACAGTGAATATTGGTGTCCCCATCACCTAGATCCACGTTAACGCCATACTGTACTCGCAGTCTCCCCGAAACTCTCCACTTCTCATCCTTAGGTTTGTTCGTTGGTCCATCAAACCCACTTAGCTTTTGAAACGTTTCAAGCTTGCAATCGTCAGTACACTCCTCCAAAGCCCTTCCACTTGCTTGTTGGTGGCTGGAGTTAATGGGTTTATGGGTTGTTTTTTTAATTAAAAAATTTTTTAATTGGAGTTATAATCGATTTACATTGTTAGTTTCTGATGAACAGCATAGTGATTCAGTTACATACATATATATTCCTTTTCATGTTCTTTTTCATTATAGGTTATTATAAGATATTGAATATAGTTCCCAGTGATATACAGTAGGACCTTGTTGTCTACCTGTTTTATATATATTAGTATCTGCAAATCTCAAACTCTCAGTTCATCCCTTCCCACCCTCTTTCCCAACTGGTAACTCTAAGTTTGTTTTCTATGTCTGTGAATCTGCTTCTGTTTTGTGAATAAGTTCATTTGTGTCATTTAATAAAGATTCCACATGTAAGTGATACCGTATGGTATTTTTCTTTCTCTTTCTGGTTTACTTAGCAGTATATAATCTCTAGATCCATCCATGTTGCTGCAAATGGCCTTATTTCATTTTTATTTATGGCTAAGTAGTATTCCATTGTGTTTATATATCACAGCTTCCTTATCAGTCACCTGTTGGTGGACATTTAGATTGCTTCCATGTCTTGGTTGTTATAAATAGTGCTGCTGTGAACATTGGGGTGCATGTATCTTTTTGAATTAGAGTTTCCTCCGGATATATTCCCAGGAGGGGGATTGCTGGATCCTCTGGTAAGTCTATTTTTAGTTTTTTTTGAGGAATCTCCATATTCTTTTCCATAGTGGCTGTACCAAGCTACATTCCCACCAGCAGTGTAGGAAGGTTCCGTTTATCCACACTCTCTCCAGCATTTATCATTTGTGGACTTTTTAATGATGGCCACTCTGAATGGTGTGAAGTGATACCTCACTGTAGTTTTGATTTGCATGTCTCTCTGATAATTAGTGATTTTGAGAATTTTTTCATGTGCCTATTGGCCATCTGTATGTCTTAATTGGAGAAATGTTTGTTTCAGTCTTTTGCCAATTTTTTTAATTGGGTTGCTTGTTTTTGTTTGTTATTGAGTTGTATACGCTGTTTGTATATTCTGGAAATTAAGCCTTTGTCGGTTGCGTCAATTAAAAATATTTCTCCCATTCTATAGGTTGTCTTTTTGTTTATAGTTTGCTTTACTATGCAAAAGCTTTTAAGTTTAATTAGGTCCCATTTGTTTATTTTTCTTTTATTCTGTTGCCTTGGTAGACTGACCTAGGAGAACATTGCTATGATATATATATCAGAGAATGGTTTGCCTATGTTCTATTCTAGGAGGTTTATGGTGTCTTATTTTATAAGCCATTTTGAGTTTATTTTTGTGTATGGTGTGAAGGAGTGTTCTAATTACATTGATTTACATACATCTATCCAGCGTCATCAGTACCACCTGTGGAAGAGACTTTTTTTTTCCATTGTGTATTCTTGCCTCCTTTGTTGAGGATTAATTGCCCATAGGTGTGTGGATTTATTTCTGGGCTCTCTGTTCTGTTCCATTGATCCATACGTCTGTTTATGGGTTTTTTAAGGTAAAATTTACATAAGCAAAAGATACAAATATTAAGTGTGCCTTTTAATTGTAAATGTGCCTTACTCTGGTTGGTTTTAGATGGTACGTGGAAGAATGGTTTTTATTTTAATATTTATTTTAACATGTGTTCAGAGGAAAAAAACACCCATTTTCCATTTGTGATAGTGACAAAGTTTCCTTTAACAACGAATGTATTTAAATTAACTTGTGTGAAGGGCTGGGGTTAAGGGAGGGGAGAGGGCTTCTAAAATGCGGAGGGTGCTGCTGCTCTAGGTGTCCTTTCCAGAGCTGCGGACACTTCTAAGAAGAGTGGTCTCAGCAGGGGAGCTCCGGGGAGCGGTGGAAACTTGGGGCGTCAGAAGGGGCTGGGCACCGGGCTGGATCGGGGTCTGAGGTGGGGCCCGAATAGTGTGCATGTGTGCGTGCGTGTGTGTTTTCAAATTATTATGCATGTGTGCCCCCCCTCCAACTCTTGGAGGCTGGGAGTGTCTCTGTAAATGAGCACCCAGCCAACACAGGGCCGGGGACACGGTAGGTGCCCAAGAAGTGTTTCACGAGATCAGCAGTGTGCAAACGCTTTGTAAGCACTCTACAAAAATAAAAGAGTTTATAACAGCAGGAAGAATCCCAAGGCCACGAGTCCCCCCTATTCAGCGCAGTGCGTTGAAGCAAGTCTCAGTGTTTGTTGATTAATATACAGTCCGGCAGGCGGACAACGACCGGAGCCTCGTGGGCAGTTCGGCCCCGGCGGGCGCTGGGGCTGGGAACGTCAGTGTTCCGGGTTAGGGGCCTATCGGAGAAAGAAATGAAACCGCAGCTTTGTGGCCATGCGCACTCGGCCG